AGTGACAACTCGAGAAAGTCAATTAAAAAGAGACACATGTATAAAAGCAATTATTATATCGTATATAACGCAGACAAAAAAAATATTCGATATTAGAAATAATAGGACAGAAACGATAACGTACATTTGAATAATAAACGCTGTAATCATCGCCATTGCCTCTCCCATAACTTTTTTTGCCACTTTTAATAAAAACAATATTATTTTTTTCCAATGTAATAAGAAATTTCTTTGCGTCTCGTCTAATTTGCATTTAGGATTCGACAAAAGTGCAAAGACGACAAATGAAGTAAACAATTTTTTTATGAAAAACGCATACGATTTTTATCCAATTTTATAACACATATCAACGTTACAATGATCGATAAAATGCAAACAAGAGAGAAATAAAATAAGCCAGTAAATAATTTACAAGAAAAAATAAAAAAAGTTAAATACCACAAATATAAAGAAGAAGAAAACTATTTTGAAATATGATATTTTTGAAATGATATTTCGAAAAAATATAAAGCAGTCTAATTAATTTCTTAATAATCGACATTTTAAGATACATGGATACACATTGATGATGTACTAGTCACCGTAATAATAAATTATTGAAAATAATTCCATTATTCACGAAGGTCTCTTCATTAATTTTCATTAATTTATAATAAGCTCGTATAATATTCCTTTGTTGTTTTTTTTCCTTACACGAAAGACAAAATGTAACGTGTATTATAAATGTAAAATATGAGTGCAACCTTCATGCAAAATATCGATTTAAACATATCTATAAAAACGTAAATATAAAAAGATTTTATACAAAAGTTTATTTTTCGATAGTCATAAGAAGATGGTAGTTTCATAAATCTTTGTTGAATTAATTACAAATTGAACGACGAATAATTCGATCATCGTTAATAACAAGATCCACCTCGATGGATGCACTCACATAAGAGAGAAGCGATATATATAATATAATAACAGTACTAAATTTATTATAATATTTGAATTCGTGTACGCGTGGAAATGTATATGTGTGTGTATGTTTGTATGTATTAAAATGACAACCAAAACAATCGAAAAATAATAATGAATCTACACGTTGTTGTTAATATTGCGAAAATAAACACGATCAAATTTTAATTGAATTTTCTTTTCATTCTTTTTTAATAATAGCTTTCTCTCTCTCTCTCTCTCTCTCTCTCTCTCTCTCTCTCTCTCTCTCTCTCTCTCTCTCTCTCTCTCTCTTCCTTTTTTTATATAAGCTTTCATAACGTACTTCAAGAAGTTGGTCCGATCATAAATACAATTTCTTGTTTTCATTATTCACTTTTAATTAGCACATTTAATATAATCAATATAAAATGTCTACTATAATGTTAGAAATTATCATAGCACGTACATCTAATTTATAATTTGCCAATATAATACATTACAATTTAGCAAGCAGTTTAAATAACGTAAAAAATATAAAATAACAGAATCGATTAACACAGAACACTTATTTCGTTCATACTAGTTTCTTTTTTTTCTTGTAAGCAATTCTTTCACGAGACACATAGAATAAGGCACATTTCTCTGCCCACGAAAGGCACTAAAATACCATGGCTAATACGTGTCTCTCGTATAATGTTAATCATTTTTTTGTATTAGAACTTGAATTAAACGAAAAAGAAGAGATCAGTTTAGAACAAAATACTATTATCCGTCAACGATTATTGTGCACCATAATTTGTACATATTACACGGCTTCCGGCGAATCTTCTTCTAACTTCGCAGTTCTTATTTTGGCATTGATATATTATTCCTTTTGTTCTTTGTTTTTTTACTTTTTTTTTCTTTTTTGTTTACTTCCAAATTAATTATTACCAATCAGCAAAAAATTGATTATTTTTATACTCGACGTTATATTATACTCTTTCCCTTTACGGTAAACATCATCTCGTCTGTGCATTCAATTCTTCCCACGAAAAATCTTTGAGACATTGAAAAAAAAAAAGTAAGATCCCTGAGGTTTATCAAAACTTGACACCAACAAATCATAAATGACTATGCAAAAACATTCTGGGCTATACCTTCGAGTAATATTTGAAAACTTTTTTTCTTCTCTTTTTTTTTTTTTAGAAATGTGCTTAAAAATTTTTCTCCATTTTATATATTAAAAAATATAAATATGTTTATTTTTATGCAAAACAGATTCGCGTAATTAGACTAAATTGATATCCTGTTTATCCGAAAATGGCTTGGCTTGGCTTGGCTTTGCTTGGCTATACGACGTAGTTGGTTTTTACAGATTTACATAATCACCGACGAAATAAGAAAAGAAACTATTTGATTGATTTTAATGATAAAAGCATACTTAACATTTATGCACGATTGCGAATATTACAAAACTCGTTAGAATATTTTTAATATTTTATAATTATGATTCAAATTAACAGATCACAGTTTGTCGATTGCTTTACTACTTTTTTTTTTCTCTTTTTTTTTCATTCAACCTCCGAGTAAACTATATATATATATATGTATATATTGGAAATATTTGTTTTTCTCAGTGAATACCGTCGAATCTCAACCCCTCGACAAGATCGTTTGAACTTTTTCCCTTTGTTTGTTTCATTTGTTTTCTAATATTTCATGGAACATTTAAAATTCACACATCTGGCATCTTTATTATTATCATTATTATCATTATTATTATTATTATTATTATTCGATTATGTAATGCTGATGAGGCTTCGAACAATGACACGAGAATTTTGTTTTCATTTAAATCAAGTAGCTTTCTTCTTCGCAGTGATGTCGTCGTCGATTCGCATGAATATTTTCGTCACACGGATTGTGATATTATTTCGTCGTTCGAATTACGATAGAGGCACCTTTATGTTATTATAATTATGACTTGAACGTTTCTTTGTCGTCGCCGTCGTCGTCCGCGATAGAACTCTCTTTCTTTCTTTCTCTCTCTCTTTCTCTCTATTTCTTTTTCTTTCTCTCTTTCTCGTTGCTACTTCCTGCGAGGAAAACGTACAAGGATGGCTTGATGGCAGGAAAAAGGAAGACGGGACTAGTAGTACCCATTTTCCACCTTATTTTTTTTATACCCTCTATGCGACTAAAAAAAGAAACCGGGGATCCAAATAAAAATCAAACAAAAAAACACAAGAGATATACCTCTGAATGATCAAGATAATTATAAATTGTGCACAATTTTCGTAATTCGTAAGTTTACTCGCATATATTCCATCATATTCAAATCGATCAAAAATGACATGGGTTAAATGAAATTGATCCAGAAGAATTAATAGAACGCTATTTGTTCTCTCTCTCTCTCTCTCTCTCCCTCTCTCTTTC